TCATTTTATTTTCACTTTTGCTTTTATTATTTATTTCTTATTATTTCATATTTTTTCTTCATTTTTTCCTTCTAATTAACTATTTCATGATATATTTTTACTTCAATATTTAAAAAGGTCTAATTAAATTGGTCATGAAGGTGCATCAGGCTTAGGTTCTGCTTTAGCAAATTGCATTAATCTCTCAAATTTGACACTTTACCTTACGTAAAAACAGTTTATTTGTTTTGTATTGTGATATTTTTAATTATAAAAACTAATAAAAAACACTAAAGCTCATTTTTCTATTTCTTTTTATTGTGTTTGCTTTTTTTTGTTCTTTCTTTGTTAATTTAGCTCATCATTTTATTTTCAACTTTTGCTTTTATTATTTACTTCTTATTATTTCATATTATTTCTTCATTTTTTCCTTCTAATTAACTATTTAATGATATATTTTTTCTTCAATATTTAAAAAGTTGGAATAAAATTGGTCATGAAGGTGCATCAGGCTTAGGTTCTGCTTTAGCAAATTGCATTAATCTCTCAAATTTGACACTTGGCCTTTAGTAAAAACAGTTTATTTTTTTTGGATTGTGATATTTTTAATTATAAAAACTAATAAAAAACAATAAAGCTCCTTTTTCTTTTTCTTTTTATTGTGCTTGCTTTTTTTTGTTTCTTTCTTTCTTAATTTAGCTCATCATTTTTAAACTTTTGCTTTTATTATTTATTTCTTATTATTTCATATTTTTTCTTCATTTTTTCCTTCTAATTAACTATTTAATGATATTTTTTTTCTTCAATATTTAAAAAGTAACAATTAAATTGGTCATGAAGGTGCATCAGGCTTAGGTTCTGCTTTAGCAAATTGCATTAATCTCTCAAATTTGACACTTGACCTTGAGTAAAAACAGTTTATTTGTTTTGGATTGTGATATTTTTAATTATAAAAACTAATAAAAAACAATAAAGCTCTTTTTTCTTTTTCTTTTTATTGGGCTTGCTTTTTTTTGTTCTTTCTTTGTTAATTTAGCTCATCATTTTATTTTCAACTTTTGCTTTTTTTATTTATTTTTTATTATTTCATATTTTTTCTTGATTTTTTCCTTCTAATATGATATTTTAAACTATAAAAATGAATATAACACAAGAAAGCTCTTTGAATATATTTGATAGCTTTATTTATTTTATTTTTTTATCTTTTTTATTCCACTCAAATTATTTTATGTATTAATTTAAAGAATAATTTTTAATTTAAAAGTTTATTCTATTTTGATATTTATTTTAAAATTTACACAAATTTATTATAAAATGTTTAGCTCAATGAATGACTCATAAAAACTCAAGGTAAAAAGCAAGTGTCTTAAATCAAAAAGATTAGTTGTCTTTTAGATAAACAAATGATGAAAAAAGGATGAATAAATATAAAATGTTTGAATAGTATTATATATTTTATTATATAATATTTTGAAAAAGTGTTTTTAACCTAAAATATAAAAATAGATAGATAGATAGATTTTACTATTGATTTTATATTATTAAGTATTATTCATATTTTTGTAAGTAAATAAATTATTTATAAAAAATAAAAAAATTAAATTTACTTAAATAATTTAATCCTCATAAGCAAACTCTCTGGTTTCTCAAAAAATGATCAAATAATTTGAAACTTTTAGTGTTATATTAAATCTTATTAAATTATATAAATTCCAAACTTTTTAGTTATATTTTAATCTTAAACATTATCCATCAATCATATTTCTATCCTTTTTTTATTTATCATGATTAATTAGATACCATGATTTAAATAAAACTTCAGGGAGAAATCAATTTTACTTTTTATTTTAACTTTAGTGGTTATAAATTACTGGTCATCTCTAATTCCTACTAAATATATTTTTAAGTATATGTTTTAAATACAAATATTAATTTTTAATAGTGAATGTTATATTAATTTTCTGTGATATCTCTTCATAAAACCAAATATATAAATTAATATTTGATCATTAATTAATTAATTATTATATTTATTTGTTCTTTTTAACCATTTATTATTAATTAATTAATTAAATTTCATAAATTGCTATTCAATATTTTTGAAAAAAAAAATAAATGATATAATAGATTAAAAAATATAATAATTTGGAAGAAGTAATTATAAATTTTTTAATTAATATCCTTTAAATTTATATAAATTAATAAAAAAAGTTTAAAAGCTCTTCACTTTTATCTCTTTAGGTTCTCCATATTCAAATGAGGTATATTTAATTAAAAATTACTTTTATTATTATTAATATTTTTTATTTATTTAAATAAATAATTTTTATGAAAGAAAAATTGGAGATGAAGGTGCATCAGGCTTAGGTTCTGCTTTAGCAAATTGCATTAATCTGTCAAATTTGACACTTGAGCTTAGGTAAAAACAGTTTATTTGTTTTGGATTGTGATATTTTTAATTATAAAAACTAATAAAAAACAATAAAGCTCTTTTTTCTTTTTCTTTTTATTGTGCTTGCTTTTTTTTTGTTCTTTCTTTGTAAATTTAGCTCATCATTTTATTTTCAATTTTTGCTTTTATTATTTATTTCTTATTATTTCATATTTTTTCTTAATTTTTTCCTTCTAATTAACTATTTAATGATATATTTTTTCTTCAATATTTAAAAAGTTACAATTAAATTGGTGCAATTGGTGCATCAGGCTTAGGTTCTGCTTTAGCAAATTGCATTAATCTCTCAAATTTGACACTTGACCTTGGGTAAAAACAGTTTATTTGTTTTGGATTGTGATATTTTTAATTATAAAAACTAATTAAAAACAATAAAGCTCTTTTTTCTTTTTCTTTTTATTGTGCTTGCTTTTTTTTGTTCTTTCTTTGTTAATTTAGCTCATCATTTTATTTTCAACTTTTGCTTTTATTATTTATTTCTTATTATTTCATATTTTTTCTTCATTTTTTCCTTCTAATTAACTATTTAATGATATATTTTTTCTTCAATATTTAAAAAGTGAAAATTAAATTGGTGATGAAGGTGCATCAGGCTTAGGTTCTGCTTTAGCAAATTGCATTAATCTCTCAAATTTGACACTTGACCTTGAGTAAAAACAGTTTATTTGTTTTGGATTGTGATATTTTTAATTATAAAAACTAATTAAAAACAATAAAGCTCTTTTTTCTTTTTCTTTTTATTGTGCTTGCTTTTTTTTGTTCTTTCTTTGTTAATTTAGCTCATCATTTTATTTTCAACTTTTGCTTTTATTATTTATTTCTTATTATTTCATATTTTTTCTTCATTTTTTCCTTCTAATTAACTATTTAATGATATATTTTTTCTTCAATATTAAAA